AATACCAAGACCTACACCCAACTAATACACATCCATGTCTAAAACCATCAACTGTTATACATCGTACCCTACCGAAGCTTACTAAATGTTAACTGTATTACACAACGTATATGTACAACATTTGCATTATCCTTTTGTAACATACCCAAAACCTAACGATAATCAAAGTCTTTTCTGGAAGAGTTCAATGTTTAAATCCATTGTTTCGTTACTTTCACTCGTTACACGGCAAACATCATCTTCTGAAGCATGCAACCGTGTAACCATCTTCCATGCTGTATTTGGACATTATCAAAATAGTTTAAATTAGTTAATGTTGTCCCATACATGAAACAAACAATCGTTCTTTAAGTTCCTAGACAAACAGACATTTTTTTTTCTTTTTCTTAAAATGAAACTCTGATATTTCGACTTATGCTTCAGCCATCGGCATCCAGATGAAGACAAATTGTAATTATACATATTGTCAGACATAAATTATCTCCTTTACCTTCTCCTAAATAAATCCTCTACATTCCTTGCTTACATCCACAAGTACCTTGCATTAAGTATTTACATTCATTGTTTACCTCCATAAATACATTGCATTACTTGTTTGACCAAAAATATAGTAAAATTACGGATGCTCAGTTTGGTTTTAAGAAAAACTTGTCTACTATTGACGCCATATTTGCTTTACAGTCTTTGATTAACTGCACTCTAAAACGTATTTTTTTTATACTGTTGCTTTATTAATTTTACAAAGGCTTTTGATTTCGTCAATTTAGACAAAACTTGTGGTTCAATTTGATAAAAGAAGGCATTGATGGGAGATTATTAAAGCTAATAAGGTCATTGTATAGTAGTGTTAAATGTTGTGTTAAGCATAATGGATCATTATCCAATTATTTCAATTGTGAAAATGGATTGTTTCAATGTGAAATTTTATTACCACTATTGTTTACAGTATATGTTAATGATGATGATGCCCAAGTGAAAAACTAGCATGTGTGTATGTGCATGTGAATATGTACCATTAATGATATGTTTGTATATTATGTAAAATCTCTGAAAAATAAACAATTACAAAAGAATGCCTTTAAAAAGCTGGATCTAATAGACAATTTGTCTTGGATGAAGAAAATTCCTTTCTTTCTCAGGACAGCCATTGGTGAATTTATCTTTTATCCACATCTTGATTTGTGATTGATATTATTCGTGTGAAATACAAATGAAATAACGAAGTGACACCACTTGGAAGCTGCCACTGTTCGATGAAAATTGTTAATGGCATCTACCGTGAATGTGAAAAGGAATTTAATATGTGCATTTATGCACTGCTAAAACAAAGTAGGAATAAAATGTATAGTCATAATTATGTGTAATGTATAATTACACTTCTAGTCTAGGACAGTGCACTTTATAAAGCATTTCCACCAATGCAGTTTACCCATATTTATTCTAAATTTCATATATTTAATGTTATCTTTACCATTAGATGTTTCTGGGGTTAGTTATATCAGCATTGAAACAAAATCAAATACTGAAAAATAATTGTATGTTTCTAAATAATCATCTAAAAATATTTTCCTACATATGGGCTGACTTGTTTTTATTTTGAGGTATGACAAGTTATTCAGATTAATTTTATTTAACAATGTCATTTTTGTTCTTTGCCATAACAAAAAATTGCAGTGAAATATTATTTCTGAGAGTAACTCTCATATTTTGTATGAAATGAAATTTCATCAAATGAAAACCTTGCCAGATATAATATCAGATAAATCTCTTTTATGGTGTAACTCTTGGAAAATGGTATATACTTTTGGCACAATGATTTACATTCCCCATCAAAGAGGTAGACCAGGTGTGAACTGCTGCAATCAAAGGATTCCCTTTGCTGATTGTCTTCTAACTGACCTGTGAATTAAGCTGCAACAAGTAAATTTCAAATTCGCACACATAACAAATGAAGGACCATCAAGTTCCCTTCAGAGCAAGTATTGAAATTAAGTTGAATTATCTAAAAAAAAAAAATTCGAAAGAAAATCAAATGTGAAAATGACATGACTGTAAATAAGACACCTATATAAATTTATTTAGTACTACTGGTATAATAGCAAATAGGGAAATCTCTACTTTGTTTGAATATGTCTCCGGCTAAATTACAACATCAAATCAATATAAAGATTTGATAAATCTATGATTAAAGCCTATGTGTAATTGTGTGATCTGTAATATTTTACATTCACACCAGTCCATCACATTAAGTGGTCAGGTTAAATGCATGCAGGAAACACAAAGTCAATTAAATTTATAATTGCACAAGAAGTGCATTTCACTGAAAACATATTTGTGACACAATGTGTGTATAATTCAAATATATGTCCTAGGACATGACGATGTAGGGGATACATGGATTCGCCCAGCTATAAAGGAGCAGTAGCCTGTAGGGAGTCATCTTTCTGCATAACATGGGTTCAGTATAAAATATAACAATTACAAATGGTAGTATGAGAGTCATTATAGTTAATAAATCATTTTTCCTTTATTGTCCTACTATCTACTACACATAACATAAATATTTTATTAACGAAATTCAAATAATTGGATACTGGTTATATACAAAAATCTCTCGTCGTCAGAATGCTCGTTATCGCAGCTACAATGTACTCATATGCTCGTTTTGTCATCCGCAGTAGAACTGCTCGCTCTTGGGCTTTATCTGCTGTAGTCGTTTAACAACGCTGCAAGTATCGATAGGTAAGCTTTTAAAAAATAAGAAAAAGAAGTGAGTCTGATTTTATAAATATATACATTGATGCATCCGTAGTTCTGGCCTACCAGGCTAAGGGGTCACGCTTGTAAAATTATGATATTGCAAATGATAAGGATTTAGAATGTCGTCTTTAGATGGAATAGTAGGTAGGTTAGTTGTTTGCATCTGTTCCATATAATGACAAACATTGTTATAGGCAAATACGTCCTTAAACTGTCAAGATTCAACAGCGTTCAATCGCCACGAGTGAGAGCACCCCCATATTGTTTACAAAAGTTTTACCACTTGACCTCTGACCCAAGATGGCGGCGGAAACTGTCAAAACGCCTATTGCCGGCATTGGTGATTTCAACCGATGTGTATTTTGTACGATATTGCAGACATTGGTCTTGTTTTCGTTGTAATAAAGGTTTTTTTATTCTATTTTTTACTTTGCACATAAATTTACAATGGTATTGTCAAATCTCACAATGCCCAGCGATATTTCAGCAGCCGTCATGTTTATTTATATTGGATATTGTAGTTCCGGTCAGTGTTGTATTAATACGCTAAGAATTGTGTCTCGTGATGCATGGTATTTAAAGTCCCATCAACGACACAGCTTTCAAAGAGGCTATATAGTGACATTGCCATGCAAATGTAAATATATATATATATTGTATATTGAGTATGTAATGAAGAGCACTTACTGTAACTACAGGCCTTATTGATGTCCAATACAGCAGGCACTGTTTAATGTTCACTTTTCTTTAATAGAAACATAATAATGAACATTTGTTGATTTTAGAAAAGTTACAAACAATCATCTACAAAAAATATGTCTTGGATGTTAGCCCGGATGAAAGCATGTAGGGGGTCTTAATGTTGGAGGAAATCTAAATACTCAGAGAAACCCCACGTGGTCGGGCAGATAACCCTATGCCTTTTTACGTCCGATCGGGGAGTCGATCCCCGGTCGTATTGGTGAAAGAAGAGTTCGCTATCCACTTCATCAGCCGACAAACTAATACATGTATCGTTGGTGCACAAACAGAAAGAAATTAATAGCTCCATTGGGCTGCCCCAGTCGTTAGTATTACCCAAACACAAGTCTTTCTTCATCTTCCCAGTTATAATCAAACGTTGTACTAACCATGTAGTGAGGAAATATGATGTCTGCAATTCCCGATCAGGTCAATAATTTCTTACAGGTTAATTTGTTGAAACTATCAACGTCCGATAATTTTCCAGCAAGCCCGTCGTCACGAGGAGAAAATACTTGTAAAAAGATTGTGTATGATACCACAGTTGTACAGACATGGGTAACACGTTTCCTTTCGAAACTTCCTTAATTTTTTTCGACGTCTATTTTTTTTTCTGCTATCAACTTGTTTTTTTCTATGATGACGCTGCGGTACATTTATAGCACCAGAAGGATTTCGGGTAAAATCCATGGCTTGCTGAGGGCTTCGCACCAAAATCAAGATGGTGGAATTTCCCTATTCAACACCCCTGGACATGAAATAGTATGTTTCTCCCTTTTCTTATCATCAGAATAAAGTTAGAAACCACAAAAAAATGTTACAATTTTCAAATCGTTGGCATCGGATTATATCCGGTTACCTCAAATAATGTAAACTTTTGCCCCAGAGGGAATTCAAATACGTAATATGTGATGCGAACTTCATTGGTAGATGGCCAATATGTGACATTTGGACTTTATATGGCTTGCATTTTTTCGGGAGATAAAGCCAATTCTATCAAATATGTATAATAAGAATGTTTACATGATAAATAACAAAGTGTAGCTATATCTAAATTAAGTAAAATCCTATTTTGTTAACTTCTTCATTACTAGTCCTTAAATAAAAGGGAAATAACTTCACACATCACTATTATACAATCTACTTTGGAGGAGTTACAGCCCCTTTATTTATCTAAAATTTAAATGTCATAAATATGTAAACATTATGTTCATCACTTGATGTTGCTGTAGGAGAGGACTTATATAGGCAATGCCTGATGTCTAATCGTGTTGACTTCTTTTGTTAATAAAATATGTTGAAATTGAATCTGGGATGCGAGATAGAAATTTCTCAATCCAGTGTCCGGAAATTAGTTGTCATTGGCGCATTATGGTTGTTTATATAAACGACGGACATCAATGTCGTACATACTACTCATAGATAATATTATCGTAATTTAAAATGTTGTGATATCTCCAGGAAAACAATTTAAAAAAAGAAGAAATGTGTTATGAGCAATATTATTTTCCTTTTTAATTTTTAGTTTATTAATACAAATATAGATATAATTTTAAAGGCATATGTAATCAACTCGTATACAATGCACATATTATTGAAATTATCTCAATATTTTCTGTTACAGTGCTGATAATACAAGTATAAAGGTTTTAATTTAAAGCAGCAACGGTTCTTTGAACTGTTGTTTATCGAATTTTCTTATTTCTAAGAGAGTCAAGTGGAAATGGTCCATTCACTTCCTTGTATATCACCGTAATAAATACTAAGGATTAAGCATCTTGTCGCTATATTTCAAACTACTAGAAGTTAGAATGTTTTCAATATTAATTGAAATCTCTCTAACTTGCATCCGTAGTGTTAAAGCATTTAATGTAATGCATGTAAACATGTTTAAATTGCACCAGCATAACAAATCAATTGTGCACGTGAAATTGTATCAAACACATGAATCAATTACAAGAAAAAATCTTAATTTTCTTACACTTCTATGCTACGTGTGAAAACGACCTATTTCTGTAAGAACAATCCTCAAAGTTCACATTAATATAGAGATATTTAGCCATTCTCTCTAGTGTCATAAACTTTGCGCATTAATCATTTTCAAAATGTATTCTTCGCGGAAGACAAAAGTATCCACAAATGCACATGAACGGTATTCATACTTTTCTTAAACGAAGAATCGGTATTGAGGGCTGTACATCAAAAGGTTTGTAAAATTGATATTGTCTTTACTTAAGTTTATGAAAGCTTTTCATAGAAGGATGTCTTTCAGTATTTTCCTATAATGACTGCATCACATAGTAGGGCTACATCTGGCTGTCAGTTTAACGCCAGTCGTTGTTTCCGATTCTGATGGCAGGTCTTGTATCCCCAACCTTCTTTGCCAAAACCAAAAGTCTGCTTTTGAAATCATCTGCACTGAGGTAACCTCCCTAAAAAGAATTGGACATTAATTATTTTGTTCGTTCGTGATTACTGATGATTTTCTCTATGTACCTTGATTATATAATTGTTGTTAGTTTTTTGTTTATAATTATAAATGAAACAGATATTTGAAAAAATATAATCCGCAACGTAACCTTCCCGGTTACTGTGTATGCAAAAACACAATGCAATGGGGCTAAGATCTTTAAAGTTGAGTGGCATAGGATGTTGTTAAGGGATTGAAGAGGCCTACACAAATAAAAACCCGACAAGTGGAATTGTTTCAATGTAAGAACGGCTTCTTCAGTGTGCAAACCTTAATGAAACTATGTATTTAATTTTTCAAATAATATCTCTTTTAATTTGTTGACACACATTTTTTTTTAACTTTTTGCGTAGAAAATCTCTCAGCATTAAACATATACAAAACGATTTTGTAAAACTGAGATGTATGTGTTAAGATATATTTTCCAGAAGTACAATGATTATATAAAGATGAGATAATGGCTCCAATACAATGTTTTATTGTTCGACGTTCCATTTTCTGGAAAATGTTGGATATGAGTTAAAATGTCTAACACTTCACCAAAACATATTCAATAATATGATAATATTCCAACATGAAACCCTCTCAAAGTGACAAGGTAGGCTCACATTATGAAGGAAATGAAATCATCTTTATTAGATAAGAACCATCATATCGTACTTTGAACGTAGACTTACCTGGAAATGACGTTTACCAGAACCACCTTCCTCATATGCGCTCCGAGCATGCAACATTCTCCTGTTGTTGAAGGCTATTACCTCCCCTGGTTTAAGTTTGGTTTCAATCTGAAAATAAGTAAGATATCAGCTTAATTGAACTGTATTTACTTGAAGTACTGAATGCACATTTTTGTCATTTTACATTTCAGTGAAATCCTAACTGGGGGATGGTGTTACGTTGTGTTGGAATTGAAGGATAGCAATGCTGAAAAGGAGTCGAAAACACTTACATAGAGAACACTCACATAGATACATCAATAGTAGTAAGAGGAGTCGAGAACACTTACATAGATACATTAATAATATTACAAGGAGTCGACAACATTTTCATAGATACATCAATAGTAGTAAGAGGAGTCGAGAACACTTACATAGAAACATCAATAGTAGTAAGAGGAGTCGAGAACACTTACGTATATACATCAATAGTAATAAGAGGAGTCGACAACACTTACATATATACATCAACAGTAGTAAGAGGAGTCGAGAACACTTACATAGAAACATCAATAGTAGAAAGAGTAGTCGAGAACACTTGCGTATATACATCAATAGTAAGAGGAGTCGAAAACACTTACATAGATACATCAACAGGAGGAAGAGGAGACGAGAACACTTACTTAGGTACATCAATAGTAGTAAGTGGAGTCGAGAACACTTACATAGATACATCAACAGTAGTAAGAGGAGACGAGAACACTTACATAGGTACATCAATAGTAGTAAGTGGAGTCGAGAACACTTACATAGATACATCAATAGTAGTAAGAGGAGTCGAGAACACTTACATAGATCCATCAATAGTAGTAAGAGGAGTCGGGAACATTTACATAGATACATCAATAGTAGTAAGAGGAGTCGGGAACACTTACCTAGATACATCAACAGTAGTAAGAGGAGTCGAGAACACTTACATAGGTACATCAATAGTAGTAAGTGGAGTCGAGAACACTTACATAGATACATCAATAGTAGTTAGAGGAGTCGAGAACACTTACATAGATACATCAATAGTATTAAGAGGAGTCGAGAACACTTACATATATACATCAACAGTAGTGAGAGGAGTCGGGAACACTTACATATATACATCAACAGTAGTAAGAGGAGTCGAGAACATTTACATAGATACATCAGCAGTAGTAGAGGAGTCGAGAACACTTACATAGATACATCAACAGTAGTGAGAGGAGTCGAGAACACTTACATAGATACATCAATAGTAGTGAGAGGAGTCGAGAACACTTACATAGATACATCAACAGTAGTAAGAGGAGTCGAGAACACTTACATAGATCCATCAATAGTAGTAAGAGGAGTCGGTAACACTTACATAGATACATCAACAGTAGTAAGAGGAGACGAGAACACTTACATAGATACATCAACAGTAGTAAGAGGAGTCGAGAACATTTACATAGATACATCAATAGTAGTAAGAGGAGTCGGTAACACTTACATAGATACATCAACAGTAGTAAGAGGAGTCGAGAACATTTACTTAGATACATCAATAGTAGGAAGAGGAGTCGAGAAAACTTACATATATACATCAACAGTAGTGAGAGGAGTCGGGAACACTTACAAATATACATCAACAGTAGTGAGAGGAGTCGAGAACACTTACATAGATACATCAATAGTAGTAAGAGGAGTCGAGAACATTTACATAGATACATCAACAGTAGTAAGAGGAGTCGACAACATTTACATATATACATCAATAGTAGTAAGAGGAGACGAGAACACTTACATAGATACATCAACAGTAGTAAGAAGAGTCGAGAACACTCACATAGATACATCAATAGAATTAAGAGGAGTCGAGAACACTTACATATATACATCAACAGTAGTGAGAGGAGTCGAGAACACTTACATAGATACATCAATAGTATTAAGAGGAGTCGAGAACACTTACATAGATACATCAACAGTAGTGAGAGGAGTCGGGAACACTTACATATATACATCAACAGTAGTGAGAGGAGTCGAGAACACTTACATAGATACATCAATAGTGTTAAAAGGTGTCGACAACACTTACATAGATACATCAACAGTATGGATTATACTTGTTTACATGCGTACTTCTATAACTAAATAAAACAGCGGACCAATTTTGGTTTCTTCCATGTCCCTTTCGAAAATACTCAGAAGAAAACCCCAATCTGCAGCGGTCTACATTAGTCGTGTTTTACGATATACGGGCATTAGGAAACAGCAGGTCTTATCTTCGTTTTCCTCGATATCCCCAGGCAGAAAAGAAGGAAGGAACCTTCCGCGATTCTGCAGGAGGAGGGGCCATATTAGTCATCTCTTACGACCACTTAGTGTGATACAGTAGGCCTATTGTTTTCCCAACCCTACTAACGGTATCATTTTGTGATATGATGGAATATCATGTATTCGTATAAAGTACAAAACCCTTTTATGTGTGGGCACACTCACTACATCCTCAGAAAACTCGACAGCTCGTCCAAGAAGTTGGTAGGCATTATAAAACTCCTCCACGTCTTCCTGAAACAGATTTAGGAACAAATGCCCTTTTTTCAAATAGTTGAAATCTGAGTCCTCAATTTGTATAATATAAACGGAGGGTGTCACCTGTTACCAGGTGAGCTATTAAGGCCCTGTGCCTCTTGTTGTACTATCTACAGTGACACAATCTACATTGGTCTAATAACGGTATTATCTATAAAGTGACATAAACTACGTTAATATAACAGTGTGTTATTTATAGTGATATTGACTACGTCCTGTTTACTTGTCAATTGTTTTTGTTCTTTACAAAAACTAAAAATTACAGCTTTATTTTATTGACTTCATAATCAATCCTCACCTCCGGAACTTCCAACGGGGCGTGCATGTACGTGTGCCACACGACCGATATGACCTGCAAAACGAATCAATTGGATTGCAGTTGTGATTAAATACAGCTCCTGGTTAAACAGCAATACCACACATGTTTACAAAGGCGTGCTCAATCAAACAAACAAAAGCGGGTTTTATACTACTTAGTACCAAATATATTATTTTATATTACAAGCGTAACCAAATGATTATTCAATACTTGAATTAATATTTACATTGAAATATCCTTTATCTTATAAGTACAACATCTGTGAAAATGTAGATTAAAGTGTATCAACCTGAAGACAACACGACAAGTTCAATTTGACAAATATAAAGTAAAGTTGATCAATGCTACAACCGGAAATAATTAAACATGACACAGCGAGAAGAATGCCAGCAAGTGCTGGGTGAAGGAATTTAATCATGTCATAATTAATAGTTTTCTCGAAGTTACGAAAAAACTATGTCGTTATGTTGCCTTGCTATATTTATAAACCGTCTTCCAATCCTCAGTTACTGTCAATAATGTTGTCACATACCCTGCTCTGAATAAAGAGAGATAAGGGTGAAGACACCATCAAAAACGTCACTGACAGTGAAGTGCATGGATCTCTCTACAACCTCAGATATTTCTGGCAATGTTCTTACATGTACTAGTCTTTAGTTTTCTTTGTCAAATGTATTAATTGATCTTGCATGCGCTATATTTAAATTATCTGGAAAGGTTGCATTTTTTATGAGGGTGGTGACTGGTTTTATTATGAAAGGCTGAGCTAGTGATAGACGGTTTTGTCGTGACCTGTGGATTTGGTTGAATCATTATGACATATTTTCACCAACAGGAATGCATTTATGTTGTTTCTTCTGTCTCTATATACGTCGTCTGTGGTGTGGCAGTAGCTCTCTATGTCTCTATCTACGTCGTCTATGGTGTGGTTGTAGTTCTCTATGTCTCTATCTACGTCGTCTATGGTGTGGCTGTAGTTCTCTATGTCTCTATCTACGTCGTCTATGGTGTGGCTGTAGTTCTCTATGTCTCTATCTACGTCGTCTATGGTGTGGCTGTAGTTCTCTATGTCTCTATCTACGTCGTCTATGGTGTGGCTGTAGTTCTCTATGTCTCTATCTACGTCGTCTATGGTGTGGCTGTAGTTCTCTATGTCTCTATCTACGTCGTCTATGGTGTGGCTGTAGTTCTCTATGTCTCTATCTACGTCGTCTATGGTGTGGCTGTAGTTCTCTATGTCTCTATCTACGTCGTCTATGGTGTGGCTGTAGTTCTCTATGTCTCTATCTACGTCGTCTATGGTGTGGCTGTAGTTCTCTATGTCTCTATCTACGTCGTCTATGGTGTGGCTGTAGTTCTCTATGTCTCTATCTACGTCGTCTATGGTGTGGCTGTAGTTCTCTATGTCTCTATCTACGTCGTCTATGGTGTGGCTGTAGTTCTCTATGTCTCTATCTACGTCGTCTATGGTGTGGCTGTAGTTCTCTATGTCTCTATCTACGTCGTCTATGGTGTGGCTGTAGTTCTCTATGTCTCTATCTACGTCGTCTATGGTGTGGCTGTAGTTCTCTATGTCTCTATCTACGTCGTCTATGGTGTGGCTGTAGTTCTCTATGTCTCTATCTACGTCGTCTATGGTGTGGCTGTAGTTCTCTATGTCTCTATCTACGTCGTCTATGGTGTGGCTGTAGTTCTCTATGTCTCTATCTACGTCGTCTATGGTGTGGCTGTAGTTCTCTATGTCTCTATCTACGTCGTCTATGGTGTGGCTGTAGTTCTCTATGTCTCTATCTACGTCGTCTATGGTGTGGCTGTAGTTCTCTATGTCTCTATCTACGTCGTCTATGGTGTGGCTGTAGTTCTCTATGTCTCTATCTACGTCGTCTATGGTGTGGCTGTAGTTCTCTATGTCTCTATCTACGTCGTCTATGGTGTGGCTGTAGTTCTCTATGTCTCTATCTACGTCGTCTATGGTGTGGCTGTAGTTCTCTATGTCTCTATCTACGTCGTCTATGGTGTGGCTGTAGTTCTCTATGTCTCTATCTACGTCGTCTATGGTGTGGCTGTAGTTCTCTATGTCTCTATCTACGTCGTCTATGGTGTGGCTGTAGTTCTCTATGTCTCTATCTACGTCGTCTATGGTGTGGCTGTAGTTCTCTATGTCTCTATCTACGTCGTCTATGGTGTGGCTGTAGTTCTCTATGTCTCTATCTACGTCGTCTATGGTGTGGCTGTAGTTCTCTATGTCTCTATCTACGTCGTCTATGGTGTGGCTGTAGTTCTCTATGTCTCTATCTACGTCGTCTATGGTGTGGCTGTAGTTCTCTATGTCTCTATCTACGTCGTCTATGGTGTGGCTGTAGTTCTCTATGTCTCTATCTACGTCGTCTATGGTGTGGCTGTAGTTCTCTATGTCTCTATCTACGTCGTCTATGGTGTGGCTGTAGTTCTCTATGTCTCTATCTACGTCGTCTATGGTGTGGCTGTAGTTCTCTATGTCTCTATCTACGTCGTCTATGGTGTGGCTGTAGTTCTCTATGTCTCTATCTACGTCGTCTATGGTGTGGCTGTAGTTCTCTATGTCTCTATCTACGTCGTCTATGGTGTGGCTGTAGTTCTCTATGTCTCTATCTACGTCGTCTATGGTGTGGCTGTAGTTCTCTATGTCTCTATCTACGTCGTCTATGGTGTGGCTGTAGTTCTCTATGTCTCTATCTACGTCGTCTATGGTGTGGCTGTAGTTCTCTATGTCTCTATCTACGTCGTCTATGGTGTGGCTGTAGTTCTCTATGTCTCTATCTACGTCGTCTATGGTGTGGCTGTAGTTCTCTATGTCTCTATCTACGTCGTCTATGGTGTGGCTGTAGTTCTCTATGTCTCTATCTACGTCGTCTATGGTGTGGCTGTAGTTCTCTATGTCTCTATCTACGTCGTCTATGGTGTGGCTGTAGTTCTCTATGTCTCTATCTACGTCGTCTATGGTGTGGCTGTAGTTCTCTATGTCTCTATCTACGTCGTCTATGGTGTGGCTGTAGTTCTCTATGTCTCTATCTACGTCGTCTATGGTGTGGCTGTAGTTCTCTATGTCTCTATCTACGTCGTCTATGGTGTGGCTGTAGTTCTCTATGTCTCTATCTACGTCGTCTATGGTGTGGCTGTAGTTCTCTATGTCTCTATCTACGTCGTCTATGGTGTGGCTGTAGTTCTCTATGTCTCTATCTACGTCGTCTATGGTGTGGCTGTAGTTCTCTATGTCTCTATCTACGTCGTCTATGGTGTGGCTGTAGTTCTCTATGTCTCTATCTACGTCGTCTATGGTGTGGCTGTAGTTCTCTATGTCTCTATCTACGTCGTCTATGGTGTGGCTGTAGTTCTCTATGTCTCTATCTACGTCGTCTATGGTGTGGCTGTAGTTCTCTATGTCTCTATCTACGTCGTCTATGGTGTGGCTGTAGTTCTCTATGTCTCTATCTACGTCGTCTATGGTGTGGCTGTAGTTCTCTATGTCTCTATCTACGTCGTCTATGGTGTGGCTGTAGTTCTCTATGTCTCTATCTACGTCGTCTATGGTGTGGCTGTAGTTCTCTATGTCTCTATCTACGTCGTCTATGGTGTGGCTGTAGTTCTCTATGTCTCTATCTACGTCGTCTATGGTGTGGCTGTAGTTCTCTATGTCTCTATCTACGTCGTCTATGGTGTGGCTGTAGTTCTCTATGTCTCTATCTACGTCGTCTATGGTGTGGCTGTAGTTCTCTATGTCTCTATCTACGTCGTCTATGGTGTGGCTGTAGTTCTCTATGTCTCTATCTACGTCGTCTATGGTGTGGCTGTAGTTCTCTATGTCTCTATCTACGTCGTCTATGGTGTGGCTGTAGTTCTCTATGTCTCTATCTACGTCGTCTATGGTGTGGCTGTAGTTCTCTATGTCTCTATCTACGTCGTCTATGGTGTGGCTGTAGTTCTCTATGTCTCTATCTACGTCGTCTATGGTGTGGCTGTAGTTCTCTATGTCTCTATCTACGTCGTCTATGGTGTGGCTGTAGTTCTCTATGTCTCTATCTACGTCGTCTATGGTGTGGCTGTAGTTCTCTATGTCTCTATCTACGTCGTCTATGGTGTGGCTGTAGTTCTCTATGTCTCTATCTACGTCGTCTATGGTGTGGCTGTAGTTCTCTATGTCTCTATCTACGTCGTCTATGGTGTGGCTGTAGTTCTCTATGTCTCTATCTACGTCGTCTATGGTGTGGCTGTAGTTCTCTATGTCTCTATCTACGTCGTCTATGGTGTGGCTGTAGTTCTCTATGTCTCTATCTACGTCGTCTATGGTGTGGCTGTAGTTCTCTATGTCTCTATCTACGTCGTCTATGGTGTGGCTGTAGTTCTCTATGTCTCTATCTACGTCGTCTATGGTGTGGCTGTAGTTCTCTATGTCTCTATCTACGTCGTCTATGGTGTGGCTGTAGTTCTCTATGTCTCTATCTACGTCGTCTATGGTGTGGCTGTAGTTCTCTATGTCTCTATCTACGTCGTCTATGGTGTGGCTGTAGTTCTCTATGTCTCTATCTACGTCGTCTATGGTGTGGCTGTAGTTCTCTATGTCTCTATCTACGTCGTCTATGGTGTGGCTGTAGTTCTCTATGTCTCTATCTACGTCGTCTATGGTGTGGCTGTAGTTCTCTATGTCTCTATCTACGTCGTCTATGGTGTGGCTGTAGTTCTCTATGTCTCTATCTACGTCGTCTATGGTGTGGCTGTAGTTCTCTATGTCTCTATCTACGTCGTCTATGGTGTGGCTGTAGTTCTCTATGTCTCTATCTACGTCGTCTATGGTGTGGCTGTAGTTCTCTATGTCTCTATCTACGTCGTCTATGGTGTGGCTGTAGTTCTCTATGTCTCTATCTACGTCGTCTATGGTGTGGCTGTAGTTCTCTATGTCTCTATCTACGTCGTCTATGGTGTGGCTGTAGTTCTCTATGTCTCTATCTACGTCGTCTATGGTGTGGCTGTAGTTCTCTATGTCTCTATCTACGTCGTCTATGGTGTGGCTGTAGTTCTCTATGTCTCTATCTACGTCGTCTATGGTGTGGCTGTAGTTCTCTATGTCTCTATCTACGTCGTCTATGGTGTGGCTGTAGTTCTCTATGTCTCTATCTACGTCGTCTATGGTGTGGCTGTAGTTCTCTATGTCTCTATCTACGTCGTCTATGGTGTGGCTGTAGTTCTCTATGTCTCTATCTACGTCGTCTATGGTGTGGCTGTAGTTCTCTATGTCTCTATCTACGTCGTCTATGGTGTGGCTGTAGTTCTCTATGTCTCTATCTACGTCGTCTATGGTGTGGCTGTAGTTCTCTATGTCTCTATCTACGTCGTCTATGGTGTGGCTGTAGTTCTCTATGTCTCTATCTACGTCGTCTATGGTGTGGCTGTAGTTCTCTATGTCTCTATCTACGTCGTCTATGGTGTGGCTGTAGTTCTCTATGTCTCTATCTACGTCGTCTATGGTGTGGCTGTAGTTCTCTATGTCTCTATCTACGTCGTCTATGGTGTGGCTGTAGTTCTCTATGTCTCTATCTACGTCGTCTATGGTGTGGCTGTAGTTCTCTATGTCTCTATCTACGTCGTCTATGGTGTGGCTGTAGTTCTCTATGTCTCTATCTACGTCGTCTATGGTGTGGCTGTAGTTCTCTATGTCTCTATCTACGTCGTCTATGGTGTGGCTGTAGTTCTCTATGTCTCTATCTACGTCGTCTATGGTGTGGCTGTAGTTCTCTATGTCTCTATCTACGTCGTCTATGGTGTGGCTGTAGTTCTCTATGTCTCTATCTACGTCGTCTATGGTGTGGCTGTAGTTCTCTATGTCTCTATCTACGTCGTCTATGGTGTGGCTGTAGTTCTCTATGTCTCTATCTACGTCGTCTATGGTGTGGCTGTAGTTCTCTATGTCTCTATCTACGTCGTCTATGGTGTGGCTGTAGTTCTCTATGTCTCTATCTACGTCGTCTATGGTGTGGCTGTAGTTCTCTATGTCTCTATCTACGTCGTCTATGGTGTGGCTGTAGTTCTCTATGTCTCTATCTACGTCGTCTATGGTGTGGCTGTAGTTCTCTATGTCTCTATCTACGTCGTCTATGGTGTGGCTGTAGTTCTCTATGTCTCTATCTACGTCGTCTATGGTGTGGCTGTAGTTCTCTATGTCTCTATCTACGTCGTCTATGGTGTGGCTGTAGTTCTCTATGTCTCTATCTACGTCGTCTATGGTGTGGCTGTAGTTCTCTATGTCTCTATCTACGTCGTCTATGGTGTGGCTGTAGTTCTCTATGTCTCTATCTACGTCGTCTATGGTGTGGCTGTAGTTCTCTATGTCTCTATCTACGTCGTCTATGGTGTGGCTGTAGTTCTCTATGTCTCTATCTACGTCGTCTATGGTGTGGCTGTAGTTCTCTATGTCTCTATCTACGTCGTCTATGGTGTGGCTGTAGTTCTCTATGTCTCTATCTACGTCGTCTATGGTGTGGCTGTAGTTCTCTATGTCTCTATCTACGTCGTCTATGGTGTGGCTGTAGTTCTCTATGTCTCTATCTACGTCGTCTATGGTGTGGCTGTAGTTCTCTATGTCTCTATCTACGTCGTCTATGGTGTGGCTGTAGTTCTCTATGTCTCTATCTACGTCGTCTATGGTGTGGCTGTAGTTCTCTATGTCTCTATCTACGTCGTCTATGGTGTGGCTGTAGTTCTCTATGTCTCTATCTACGTCGTCTATGGTGTGGCTGTAGTTCTCTATGTCTCTATCTACGTCGTCTATGGTGTGGCTGTAGTTCTCTATGTCTCTATCTACGTCGTCTATGGTGTGGCTGTAGTTCTCTATGTCTCTATCTACGTCGTCTATGGTGTGGCTGTAGTTCTCTATGTCTCTATCTACGTCGTCTATGGTGTGGCTGTAGTTCTCTATGTCTCTATCTACGTCGTCTATGGTGTGGCTGTAGTTCTCTATGTCTCTATCTACGTCGTCTATGGTGTGGCTGTAGTTCTCTATGTCTCTATCTACGTCGTCTATGGTGTGGCTGTAGTTCTCTATGTCTCTATCTACGTCGTCTATGGTGTGGCTCTAGTTTTCTATGTCTCTATCTACGTCGTCTATGGTGTGGCTGTAGTTCTCTATGTCTCTATCTACGTCGTCTATGGTATGGCTGTAGTTTTCTATGTCTCTAACTACGTCGTCTACAGTGCGGTTGCTGTTCCATATGTCTCTATCTACTTCGTCTATGGGATTACTGTTGTCTTAAGCTACGTCGTCTATATATAGTGTGGCTGGTGTTCCTGTTTTTCTAGCTACGTCGATTATGGTCTAGCTGTTGCTGCCTATTTCTCTTGCTACGTCGTCTATGGTGTTGCTGAAGTTCTCTATGTCTATAGCTACGTCGTCATTGGTGTTGCTGTTGTTCCCTGTGTCTCAAGTTGCGTCGACTATAGTGTTGCTGTTGTTCCCTTCGGTGGAAACCATGTCATACTTAATATCACAAAGAACAATAACATCATCATATTTGGTCGTACACAAGTCAAGCGTTTTACAAAAATTATGGGTGAGATATCTATCATTTAAATTTGGCGGTCTGCAAATGCCCTGTATGAACTATTCCAAATTATTTGTGGTCATTTTTACTGAAAGAGATTCAACTACCATGACCATTTCTGTCGCATCTCTAGAGATGGTTTTGGACTATATTGAATTGGGCATCAGGGAAACTCTCATAAATTTTGGTTTCCGCAAGTAAAAATTGATCAACAACGTTGATAATAAAAAAAAAAATCGAAAAATTGATCAAATTTGTTTCTGATGTTGTTTATAACCAAGTAAACACACAAGAAGTTTATAGGGTGATTTGTCCTCATTGGTACGGAAAATCGGAAATGGTGGAAGGGAGACAACTCTCAGTAACGTGTATGTTGTCAACATTGATATAAGCTGTTTATATGTCTAGCAGATCATTTGCGAGCTGCCTGTGGTGATTTTTGGGAAGTTATTAACAGGAAGAGCTCGTTTAAGTTCGTTTTTGCACTTCGGACATTGCCAGTCAAAGTTTGCACGGTTTTGCATGTTTACACATTTGATGTGTGACTATCGATCACAAGTTTCAAACATCACAGTCCTCAAAAATACTAGTACCAATCGTAATTACGAAAAAACTACTACAAAATATTATTGTCGGAATCACGCCATGAAAAAAGTTTCACGTGGAATTAGTCGACTTACATTGTAAATCAAATCCTTCATGAAACTACAACTCTAAGATAAATGTGGAACCTTTAGATAGATCCCCTCTTGTTTTTGGTAATATAATCTAACGTGTTAAAATAACTATATTGAATACAAGCAGTGCGACATGTCTTTGGGGATATTTTATTCGTTTAAAGCTTTAAAACTCTATCATGATAGACAGCTTCCTGTAAAGTGACTATATCTTTTATTCGTCATATGCTAGTATTCGTGACATATTGATTTCGTGATCGTCTCAAAAAACACACACGAAATGAAAAAAATGATGTAATTCGCTGAATATATCATTTACAGTTTTTCGAAAGAAAAGTTTGCTTCGTTTAGTTTTCCTTTTACAAAAGTCATTGGTAAAACATTTATCAGCATTATTTCCTTTATTCACCTTATTGGTGACGCAATGAGCCTTTAAACGTTTCAGTTTTCACCGCTGCATCATTAACGAATTGATATTATCATTTATGCGTAGTATCACCTAATAATTACCTCTCTTTGGTCATCCAGGTATATCATCGGACGTCTTTTGGACATCAGGACAGGGTAGTCACTGTAAATATTCCAGTATTATCAGTTTATATTCTACACAAATTTCTATATTACAAATATAGCCAGTATACGTCGCGCTAACTATTGTTTAGTGTTCATGTCGTAGCTCACCTGTTGTCGTATTCCAGTTGGATGGAGATAGGGACCCTACAAAGTGTTGTAAACTCATTTGGATGCTGAACTCGGAACTTAGCCAGAACTTGATACATGTCCAGGAACCTTGTTACTCCTCCTTTAACAGTTTCATCAAATCTAAGAGTACAGAAATATTTGAATTACAATTGGTAAAAGAGTCCATAATATTTAGTCTTATGATTTTGGCCTTACCTACCTAAGTTAACAACCTATGTCACTGACATTGCAATATCGCGATTTTGTAATTCACTATGAGAGCAGGAATTGAAGTAGGTTTTTATTATCGCTTTGTTGTATTGTTTAGATAAATTATTGTTAGTGTAAATAATCTCAAATAATTCCGCAGTTTATATGCTATTTATGACACACTACATGAAGCACGTTACCCAAAATGGTAAGCAATCTGAGCTCTGAAGTGTCCATATTTTGTTTTATGTGATCGTAACGTCGGCAATAGATTTTAAACAAATGATTTACAGAGGCTTTTTTACATGAACGACTCGAACAGTTGGTATCCATGCAAACGTTACTGACGGGAGTTTCAAACATCAAAAAGGACGATTTTATACATTTCAAATTTCATTCATCTTGTACATGTAAGATGAAAGATTGAAGGTCTTCAATATCTATATGATATAGCTATAGATCTTACCTGTACTTACATGGGTACAGCAAATGCAAAGGTGAAGACATTCAAGCTGCCTATTAATAAATTGTATGTACCACACGAAACAGCGTTCTGGGTGACAATTGTGGTGACAACTGTACGACTAAAATGTTACCTTACAATAGCGTCTTAGAACGGGCTCAAACGCAACTGCTTTTCATTATTTGGCATATTTTTTTTAACTTGATTTTACTTTGGTATTTACAGAAAAATTAAGGGTCCATCTTAATGCTATAAGGGTAAACGTTTGAAGGGTTTTAAACACCCCTTATAACCCTAACGTAAGATAAAAGCTGACAGGCATACTAAATTCTGATCATGTCGAATTTGCTAATTAGTTTGTCAGCGATGCCGAGTTTTTTGTCGTTTGATATCCTCGACTGTTCCCTCATATAATATGTAATACACACAAAACTGTCAAGAAACCTATTTGAAATCGATCATTGTAAAAATAAATTCGAAGTAAATATCAGTTGCTACCTGAGGCAATGGAGGAACTGGATGCCAGGTTGTCCCTCGTACACGGGGAGGTCTTGATGGAAGTGCAGCGCCACACTCGTAAAGGATGCATTAACTGGATCATCAAGCGTGGCTACCTCAAACAGCTGTAAAAATGCACAGGTATGATTTGTGTCACACACAAAAAACTTCTGAATAAACAGCATTAGAATGGTTTTGTCAATTCCATTGAAAAAGTCACAAATGGATACAATTTGAATCAAAGCCAGTGCATTTAATCACATTCCCTAATAAGGTAACTCTGTGTTAAAGTATCAATAAGTATATAGTACATGCATAACATTATTCAGATGAACGTACTTACGTAACCGTACGGGGTATGTATGATTGGTCCAATTTTTCTGATCACCTGTAAACGATACAGGGGACGTTCATGGACAAAAGTAACTATGATGTTTCAATGCTTAATATTATCTTTTATAGCAATGGTAACATTATTGTTGTTATGTGTTATTAAATCATAATCTCCCCACCGCAACAGCAATATAGTTCATACAGGGCATTTGCAGACCGACAAATATAGAGTTTTAATCGATAATTTATGAAATAACTTTAAAGGATTAGACAGATTTAACCTTTATAATTATCTCATCAATAGTGAGTTTGATTTTGATATGAAGATCCTTCAGTAAGATCGTGTGCTGTATGGTTAACAGTGACAATAGTTTACACTAACCTTCTCTAAGTAATCTCTTTCCTTGGGAACTCCAGATAACTTTGCTAGGCCATCTTCATTCAGCGTCCGCAACCATCTGAATCATTCATTATGTCTATAATACATATATTGCCTTATCAAAGCGATTTCCTTCTTCATAATTACATTAACCAGTAAATATCATTTTGCTTATCTATAGAGGTTATTGTGTAACGCCTTGGAAGTGCCATCTTGTAGTGTTCTACATAGAAAGGTTTTCATGCTGTATCAAACACATCGTCAATACACAAAACAAGTTCTCAGGTCAAAGTTTCTATCAAAGAACGGGAACTGGGAAGAAACTAAAACAACAACAAAGATATACTGAAACAACAAAGACGAAACCAGAAGTTTTCCTGAATTACATGATGCATCTGTCATACACGTCAAATCTAGTTGCAAGACAGTCGTCACGCAATTAAAAAATCTGAACTCGTGAAAGATAATGAAATCTAATAATTAAAATCCCGGTCATGGTGACAGCAATAACTTTTTTTTGTTAAGGACATATAAAATTTAGAACTGAAGAAGAAGACTTTGTGATATTTTCAATTATTTGTATTAATGAAGTATTTGTGAACAAAAACACGATACCTGTAAAGCCCCTCCTCAGAGTTGTCTACATCCTTCCAGGACAGCATCTCTATCGTTTTCTGCAAATTACAAGAACATAAAATAGACTGATATTGCAGCGTCTAACATTTTTTACAATCGATATCGCCTTGTATTGAGTATAAACGTTCCACGCATGCGCGATGAACGACAAGGTGTAACATTAATTTTCATTTTCCGTGTTATTTCAGTAAATCTACTATCAAAAGACAAAGAAAACCTCGGGTATAGAAGGTAAGAGTAGTTTTATAAAAGTGATCACTACGGATATTTACCGTGTGAATGAGAATTTATTTCGAAACACATGTTTTTGGACAAAAATCATTTTCTCACTTCTTCCTCATATATTGTATCAAATATCGGTTCACTTACTGTTATGAAAGGAATTAGAGGGAAGTTAACTATCTCGTTTACGTTTGGGACATGTAAACCGTATTGCCTATGGCTATGATGTCGTCCAAAGCAAGCACAGTGACTGTCGGGACACTAGCAGCCTCCACACTACGGTATGGGCAAGCACAGTGACTGTCGGGGCACTAGCAGCCTCCACACTACTGTATAGAGCAAGCGCAGTGACTGTCGGGACACTAGCAGCCTCCCCACTACTGGATAGAGCAAGCACAGTGACTGTCGGGAAACTAAAAGCCTCCACACTACTGTATAGAGCAAGCACATTGACTGTCGGGACACTAGCAGCCTCCAGACTACTGTATGGGCAAGCACAGTGACTGTCGGGACACTAGCAGCCCCCACACTACTGTATGGGCAAGCACAGTGACTGTCGGGGCACTAGCAGCCTCCACACTACTGTATAGAGCAACCACAGTGACTGTCGGGACACTAGCAGCATCCACACTACTGTATAGAGCAAGCACAATGACTGGCGGGACACTAGCAGCCTCCCCACTACTGGATAGAGCAAGCACAGTGACTGTCGGGAAACTAAAAGCCTCCACACTACTGTATAGAGCAAGCCCAGTGACTGTCGGGACACTAGCAGCCTCCACACTACCGTGTAGAGCAAGCACAGTGACTGTCGGGGCACTAGCAGCCTCCACACTACTGTATAGAGCAACCACAGTGACTGTCGGGACACTAGCAGCATCCACACTACTGTATAGAGCAAGCACAGTGACTGTCGGGACACTAGAAGCCTCCACACTACTGTATAGAGCAAGCACAATGACTGTCGGGACACTAGCAGCCTCCCCACTACTGTATAGAGCAAGCACAGTGACTTTCGGGACACTAGCAGCCTCCACACTACTGTGTAGAGCAAGCACAGTGACTGTCGGGAAACTAAAAGCCTCCACACTACTGTATAGAGCAAACACAGTGACTGTCGGGACACTAGAATCCTCCACACTACTGTATAGAGCAACCACAGTGACTGTCGGGACACTAGCAGCCTCCACACTACTGTATAGAGCAACACTTCTGTATAACTAGTAGTGCAGGGGAAACATTGTTTAAACACTGTTCATAAATAGTCGAATTCATCTTTTCAATGTAAACTGTATTGCTGTTGAGGTCGAGATTTGATGCATGTTCTTAACCATCGGAGTAACGTTAATTAGGGCTATTATCTTCCCCAACCTAGACACTCAATTATGCTACAAAATACATTAAACAAGGAAAAGCTTACACCGCAATTTTTTCCCGTTCCGTCCATTTTATAACAAAGACCATGACAGGACCTTGTGTTATTTTAAATTTTGCTTCATGCTATCAATGTATTTTTTTATAATATTTTCAAATAACTTTTATGTGTTTTATCGTTTTAGTTATTTAGTATACGACAAAAAAGGTGGGTCTGTAAAACCACTTATCTCACATTGGTGTTATACACCGGCTTGGACACCTCTTTCTTTGCCTGGAGATGTTCCTTTGAATAAATGTGCTGCTGTAGAAAATCCTGCGAGAAGTGTCCATGATGCTGTTCCTCTTTCCACTGCACCTTTACGTCTCCAGTATCTGTGTAATATCATATTTGGATAATTAATTATTTCACGATCTAACATCATGGCGAATACTTTGATTTAAGATTACACTGTATCCACAAATATCAGGAATCTCATAGTTACAGTAATATTTAAGGAAACCTTTACAAAAGTAATGAGGGAATCACACCATGCACTGGTATTTAGGTAGTCTTCTTCATGCAGAAGTATCGGAGGGGGCTTTTCTATAGAGCTATATAGAGGGAAATCTCCATACAGTGAATTATATTGAGATAAAAACCTTCCAAAAGTAGTATTTATGTAAATTTCTCAATACATTACAATTAATACCAGAAAGAAATCCCCTACAACCACCACGTACAGTTGTAATGAAGGGAACTATTTCCTTCAGTAGTATTGAGGGAAACACCTCTTCAAAATATACTACTGGAAAACTCCTCTTTAAGGATAAACCTTAGACACACATGGGACTTTAAATGAGTATAAAGAGAAATCATCCTTACAGTAGAATTGTGAGGAGCAACTCTCTAGAATATTATTGATAATTTCCATACACCATTACTTTTGGAAACTGCGTATTGATCCCTTTCAAACATTTCGACGTAATGTTAAGTGGTTTTGTGGTTGTGGTCGTGGTATTAAAACATATTTAGTATCAAGTAGGAATATATTAAATCACAAACCGTTTTATTTACTTAAATGCTCATTCCAGCTCTGACATTTGGACAGAATAACTAATTCGTGCCATTCGTGCATACCTTAATTAAGCATCTCCTTGAATACTATGCATCATCATTAAACATCCTCGTTTTACGTCCTCTTTCTACGATTCACCAGTTAGTCAATATGGCAATATGCTACAGGTAGAACAATAACTTTGTTCCGATTATTTCATTACATATTTAAATAGATGCGTCTTTACATTGCATTTCTAGTTATAATTACCAGCCACAAGGAACTGTTTATTGCATTTGACATATTGTTATCGGTGCATTGGTCACATTTTACCTGTCTTGACAGCGTCTTCAATCTTCAACCCTAATGGAATATCTGCTGGTCGCGTGCGGAATAACCCACTGGACTCCTCCCGGCAAACCGGACATGGGCACTGGAAGCGTAGCCAGATACTGTGGAAACTGAAACAGACATACTGATCATTTTAGTGTCAGTCTCGCAGTGTTTTCAGAAAACATTACTGCTTCGTATAAACCTATCATTTACCTGCTATATGTTAAGGTGAAAGTATAATACCATTATAACACACTGTAACGTTTGCTGGAAAATGATCACAGACAGCTGATCTTTTGCTATTCTAAACAAACTTTGTACCTGAAAAAGGTACTCTAGAAAGTGACACTTGGATGCTAGCTTGTCTGCGAGGGTATCGTGTAGGAAAACACTCTAAATATTGTATTTCGTACAATTAAATATGAAATACGTCTATTACATATGTATCAGCCTCCATGTGTTTTAGGTAGGAAGAAGTCGAGCACTAGAGATCAGAGCTGGATATTTAGGTTGTTATCGGTTATTCATGACAATTGTGAAGTTTTAAAACACAGAGTCTGGCGCCAAAGTATTTCTGGACTTTGGTAACGGTATTCAACTGCTGTGATGCGATATTTCTTTCTAACTTTTTTGTCATTTATTACACTTTTACCGATCTTGTTCAATAATTATATATCTAAAGTACCTGGAAACAAGCTCTAAATATAAATTTAATCAACTCAATCAAAAAAACATTTTGATAGCATACTTTCCTCAATGATATGATACCCTCGATGTTAAACAAAATAACTTAAAGCTAACTCACTTTCCCTCCCACTGTTTACAATGATGTCACACTATTGGGAGTGTAACATTAACAACTATAAAAAGGCATTCCGCAAGTTAACTCATCCCTGACTATCAGTACACGACGTCAAAAGACGATCACATATCTTAATGCACATGTATGTAATTATACCTAGCTGTTACTGACACAAAAATGGCAATTGTGACATTTTCTTTTAAACTAATTTGTGTATCAAGATATCGTGCTACACTGCACCAATATACAATACCAGGTCTGTTATTTGTTACATAAAAATTTATCTTTACGTTGGATTTTTCCTTGTGTTTTATCTGTTTGCAACCAAAGTTCAACACAACCCTTTTGACACAAAAATGGTTACTTGACAGAACAGAAATGTAGCGACAGTAGTCTTACTCAAACGATTTACCGTCGTCCCATGTGACATTCAGCTTCTTCCCCTCATCCACAACTTGTACTTGCTGCACTGCAGACAGAAGTCTACCATTCTACAGAAGAAGAAAACATCATTGGCATTATTGTTAATCTGTAAAAGCAACGTTATTTAAGCATTATTGCTTTGTTTTCGTATTGTTTCACAACTAGACTTAAAACACCTTTTTGGTAAACATTTATGTCCAAGAGATAAAAACGATATATGTCCCTTGTTCAGTCACCTTTGTTTAGATATTCGCGACATTTTTGAATTCCTTTATTATGGTGAATTAACACCGAAATGAACATCTCGCGAAATGCACGTATAGTATCGTTACATACAGTATACTATAGAAATGTCCTATGTTGAACGGTTCCTCTAGCTGTGAAAGTTATCTCTCATCCACAAAAATGCAGAGCCTTTAAGTGTTTGCCAAAGATAGCTTAAACCTTTTAGACAATTAAGATCGAGATATGTATTGATTTGTTGATTAAATATGAATATTGCCATTCCTCAACAGAAACAATACTTGACAAGGCAAACTATCATAATTTAAGTTAACTGCGTCAAGCTCCATTCATTTCAAATATGATGTAAGTTTTAATAGTAATTACTATTAAATTGTTCAAATTATTAAATGGTCGTGACATTTGCAAACTTAAGTCATAGTCGTGTACATAAGTAAGGTAAAGATGTGTTATATAGTAATATTGGCTTGTACCGTTTTCAGCCACCGGGCAGGAGTAACAGTCTTCTGCGACCCACTTAGTTTCAAACCTACAAAATGGGAGGGAAAATCTGGTTAAAATTCAGTCTATATTCTCTTCAAATGCTTTATTATATGATATTAAACATTAGCATGCATTATTTCAAGAAGACCCCCGTCAGAAAACACTAATCATAATGAAACATTATATATAACTTGTTGTGTATATAAAGGTTGTGTATACATTTGTGAGGTATGCCAAAAAGTCAGGTTCGAGTTATCTTTATAAATCACGTGACTTAGGAAAAAAATAATCTGAATATAAGTGTTGAATATCACACTTAAACTATAGATAAACGAATGCTGAAAAGACATTATATAGTAACTAAGCATTAGGAACAGTTAAAAGTTTACGTTGAAAAAGTAACGATCTATAAAAAGAAAGCATTAACGAATACACTACGATCTTGTTCATCATTATCTTGCAAATGTTATAACTTAGATCTAATATATACCATAAAATAAACTGTGTGTCTTAAGCTATCACTGTTGTAAGAGTAAAAACGTACCGTGGTGACAGTGTCCGCCTGCCTGTCTGCAGACGGTTCTCAAAACCGAGTTAAACATGGCAATGTCAAGTAGGATAAAATCCGACTTCCACCTCCCTAACTTTCACAAAGTTGCTGGCCAGATCGGGAAAGATCAGCTGATTACCTATCTCACTGAGTTGCACACCTATCTTTCCCTTAGCTACTGATAATGCGTCAGTGGATTCACCTTTGCCCACTGGTGACGTAATCCTACCCCGGGTTGATACAGAGATGTACCGGTGTGTAGGTTTTCGTTGCGTGATAGAGAGTTAGGCTGGTGTGTAGGTTTTCGATGCGTGATAGAGAGTTATACTGGTGTGTAGGTTTTCGATGCGTGATAGAGAGTTAGGCTGGTGTGTAGGTTTTCGTTGCGTGATAAAGAGCTTTGCTGGTGTGTAGGTTTTCGTTGCCTGATATAGAGCTTTGCTGGTGTGTAGGTTTTCGTTGCCTGATAGAGAGTTATGCTGGTGTGTAGGTTTTCGTTGCGTGATAGAGAGTTATGCTGGTGTGTAGGTCTTCGTTGCGTGATATAGAGCTTTGCTGGTGTGTAGGTCTTTGTTGCGTGATAGAGAGTTATGCTGGTGTGTAGGTTTTCGTTGCGTGATATAGAGCT